TTGCTTGCCTTTATGGACCCACATTTGTTCATTCCCAAAGCAGTTTCTCACAGCAGTGGCTGCTCAACAGCTTGGCTTCCTTTCTCCCCTTCCTTCCATTGAAACAAAGGTCTGGGTCCATAATTCTTTATCCCCCCAGGTTGCCCAAGAAGGGGACATATCAGTGAAGAAAGATGGCCACTCATGACTACAATTCTGAACTTAAGTTCAGCCCTCAATTTCTTTCAATCTTCCTAGAATAAACATAAATTATTTAGGGTTCTTGCTTTAAAATTCAATAGGTGTATGGATTTAAACCCATAACTCCCCACCCCACACCCCAAACAGTATGCTATTCTTGCCTATTTCATTTTGTGTAACTACATTGGCAGTTCCTGAGCAGATGGCCTCTGTCCACATGCCATCTGGTGGTTTTCCTTCCATGTTGGACTCCTGGACTGAAGCCTGAACAAGTTTCTCTACCTTTGGGATGTGGTAACCCCTCATCTTCACATCCTTTGTACTTTTCCTGGTAGCCCCATATAGCAAGACATATTTTATACGCTGCATTTCATGAAGAACAGCATTGGTGTAGGGCAGCTTCTTGTGATCTTGATAGGAAATTGACCCTGAGAAGCCAAACACATCTTCAATCTCCTTCTGGACTTTCTCTACAAAAAAATAAAGGAAATAGAAATTTTTTTTTCAATATTGTGTTTTACTTCAATTCCCAGTTTTAATCCTCAGCAGTACTTTAGGGTATAGAATAGCTTTCAGACCATTAAATGTAATCTCATCCTCATTCTGAGTTTAATCAAGGAGTGCAGATTTAAAATGCGTTTCCTGGGGTCTAATTTGATCCAGTCCAAACTGATTCAGAATATTGAAGCGAACTGTTGATTTAGTTGAAAGATTCCACTGAATCTCCTTCAGTCAAGTTAATCTCCAGAATTCAATCCCCACCACTTTGGAAATCTGAGTCAGTTAAAATCAATAATCTTCTGCACACAATGTAGCCTAAAAAGAAGTACCAAATCTGAAAAGATTGGTAGATTTCTGCATTTCAAGTGTGTTAAATGTTCATTTCCAGTTTTTCGTTCATTACTCAATATTTTATTGGGGATATCAAAAAAGGGTCTCTGTATGTACTTTCTTTGCTTCCTTTAATCCTG